AAAATTTGATGTACCTTCACAGGGAAAGAAATCCTGTCATATGCTACAACGTGGATGAATCTGAAGGACACTATGCTAAGTTAAATAAACTAGTCACAGGAAGACAAGCATCTTATGATTTTACAAAAGCAGCCAAAAGTCACAAGACAAGAAGCAGAATGGTGGCTGCTAGAAGCAGGAGAATTGTTTGTGGATAAAAAAGTTCTGAAGATGGATGGCAACATCTGCACAATGATATGTATGSAGTTAATGCCACTGAAATCTACACTTAAAAGTGGCTAAAATAGTAAACTTTATGTGTACCTTATTACAATTTTAAATAATTCTAAGATTCAGAAATAATGGAAAAGTATCAATGACAAAAAAACCTAACAGGTTTCTTACTAACTACTCAAGAAGGCTGATAATCTATGTAATCCTGTCAGACAATTAGAGTCAAGAAACTTGAATTTACCATTGGGTGTTTTGCTATGTTTTTAATTTCCAATCTGGGAAGTCAGGAGGCYGTCAAAATGAATAAATTATACTTAGTAATCCAAGTTCCTCAGAAGTGTCATACAAATGTAAATTACTACTGCTATTTTCAACTTTTCCCCTTTCTCACCCCAGTTTACCTTTGAGAGRTAATCATCCATATTCTCAGGTGTAATGGAAGGGTCAGTGATAAATTCAAAGAGCTCCCGCACAGTCATGATAGCAACAGCATGCTTCAAAAAGAAATCTGTTGGAAGGAAAAATGTTAATGATAGACGTATAAGGGAAGTTATCAAATCCAACTACTGTATAGAGAAACAAAGATAAAAAAAACCTACTGTCTCTCAGCAAATGGTTTACATATCACTGCAATGAACAAGATTTTATGCCACCAGTTCAAGTACAAAACATACACACACACACACACACACACACACACACACACACACACACACAAATTACCCTTTCTACTCACCATTGACATTGGCACAGTCTTTCCTCAAGAACTCCAAGGCATGTGGGTGGTCATGCTCCACAGACTGAGAAACATCAATGATGTACACATCTCCACCATGGTACCTTGTGGGCCAGAAATACAGCAGCTCTGGGGTACTACTACTTAACTATTTTCTGTTTTAATAATTCTATTCTTGGGGCTGGGGCTCAGTGGTAGCGCACGTGCCTGATATGTGTGAGGCACTGGGTTCAATTCTCARCACCACGTATTAAAAAATAAAGATCTATCAGCAACTAAAAAATATTTTTTAAAAAATTCTATTCTTAAGAGTAAGGGAAATCATTCATAAAATAATCAAGATAGATAAGAAGGGGCTTGAGTAACGAGAGAGAAAAACAGAAAATTTCCAAAGCCCATTAACTCTAAAATGATCTGTCTGTGACTAAGGCCACTGAAAGCAGGACAACATGGTAACTGTTACCACGTGAAAGCCAACTTTACAACTTTATAATTCAGTATGACTTCTGGGATTGGGCTTTGTCTATTGTTTCAAAGAACATGAAATGACTTGGGGGGGGGGGGGCGGTCCTAAGAGACAAAACATACTCACAGCATGTTAAATTCACTGAGATCTGCATGGACAAGTCTGGCATCCTGATACATTCTTCTCATGTGTTGAATAACCTGCAGATACAACTCCCGAGCCTTAGATTCTGATAACTGGACATTTTTCAAGAGTGGTGCAGGCCTCAGATAAAAATAAAATGAACAAAGATAAATGACCAAGACTAAGATATCCTGCTTCACATTACACTGATACTTCTCTACAACTCATCATGTGAATTGTACGTGGGACAGTTAGTCTCACTACAAATATTCCACTCCAAAGATACTTTTCCCATGCACTGAATAAAACATCCCTCAAAAACAGATTAACTTCTTCTGAAGCATCTTCAGACTTCAAAAGGTAAGCTGGTAACACATATGCCTAACACAGTGAAAAGGATTCAGGAAAGAACTATTCAAATGGAAAATATTCATATTTTGTATAATTTGAAGCATTTTAAAAAATACAGTTCTGGGYATAAAATTCTAAGGCCTTCTGTATACTTACATATCATCTTTACCAATGAAACCCATGACAAGAACATGACTTCTTAGCATTATTGGTTCTGGACATGGTATCTCTGCTGTGTTTAACCTGTGACATTGTAACAAAAAAAATGTAAACTGAAAAACTGAAAAGGCATCTAAACAAACTACAACAGCTATAGTCTACAATATCTATAGTCTACAATATCAATACTGCTGTTGGGAAATAACATCCAGACCTCACCATTATGTACCACCAAGAACAACAAAACTCTTGACAACTAAACGATTATATCCTATAGACTTAGAATTGATGAAATATATTAGAGAAGTCTATATTTGTCTTTTTAATTGATCAGCCTAAAAAATGTTTAATACAGGGCTGGGGTTGTGGCTCAGTGAGAGGGTACTAGCCTAGCACAGGTGAGACACTGGGTTCAAACCTCAGCACATTTTTTAAAAAATGAAATAAAGATATTGTGTCCACCTACAACTAAAAATTAAATATTTAAAAAAATGTTTAAAAATGTTTAATATAAATCATTAGATTCTCACCTAAGAGCTAGTTGAACACAAGAAGATTACAGGACTTTCAAAAAYAAATAGTACATGTTTAAATTTTCCAATGTATAATACCTTTATATAGCATATAAAAAGTTAAAWGACATTGGAAAAGAAAGAGGGGGGAAAAATTTTTCAAAATTTGCCTCAGTGGTCCCAAAATGGATTGTTACCTAGTGATTTCAGTTATGTGCTATTTCTTTATCTTCATTAATGCAAACAAAGAATATAAAAGCTGGGCAAGATGGTACATACCTATATCTATATCCCAGCTACCTGGAAACTGGGGAATAGGACTACTTTAACTAGGAGACAGATCACCTWGGGCTAAATARTGAGAACTTGTCTCAAAAACAAACCAAAAAAATAAAGACTATGTAAATGTGTCCAAAATTGGAACAAAATCAAAAAAGGAAACAGATACATAGTTGAGAACTTCACAAGATTTGTTAAAACACAAATAACTTATTAAGGAGAACACATTATCATCACCAACTATGTCACTTCCCTGTTTAAAATCCTGTAACAACTCTTTCGTCTTCCTTTGTACAAATTCTAATTGCTTTCATATAGCTTACAAGGCTCTTCAAGCAGGGTGTGGTGKCGCATGCCTGTAATCCCAGTGGCTCAGGAGGCTGAGGCAGAAGGATCTCAAGACTCTTCAAATGATTAGCTTTGATAAATAAATATGAACTGTGGTAGAATGCTTCTTCAACCCATTCTTAGAATACACAACAGGTAATTGCTATTTGTCCAGAAATCTGTTTCTTTTGCTTAGTTCAGCAGACCTAATAAAACTAAACAGCCTCAATGAGTCCTTCCCTTTGGGGAGAACCACACTGAGACCTGCTGGCAGAAAGGCTGACACACACATCCCAGTTACCTGATTAAGTTCCTCATTTCTTTTTCTGCCCATGTTTTCACCATTTTCCTAGGGTTTCCTTTACAATAGCCACGACGAAATCTTGAGGGAAAAAACTATTGGTTATTTCAATCATTCCATTATTCTGTTTCAACATTTTAAAAACCAGAAATTAAAGAAACTGGGGAAAATAAATTTAAGCTCACCTGAATTCCCCGCTTACATACTTATCCCGATCTTTAAACACCAAGATAGAAGTTTTATAAATCTTGATTGCTCTACTTTCCCCATTTATTGTGCTAGCATGGTATACATTGGCCTATTTAAAGTCAAAAACAAAAACAAAAAAGTGTTAAACAACTACTGTGTTTTACTYTTCCAATCTATTTGACTCTAACCTCAAAAGTCAAGTGAAATAACATGCACAAGAAAGATGTGAATTAAAACAGGAAACATCATAAATCTCCTAGATACAGTGACATACCACATTAAAAATTTAGTCAACACCAGGCTGCATATGCCTCAGTAGTCCCAAAATGGATTGTTACCTMGTGACGTCAYGGCTGTCTTAGTTTTATATCGTACACTCTACAAAGTTCTCACACCACCACATTTCTCAGAACATATCCCACTGTTAAGTGGCTAATAACTATGTACACAGTAAAATCCAATTTAAATATATGTGAGAAATTATTTCACAATTTTAAGTCTCAAGTATGTGAAAAATATTAAGAGATATTCTTGCAACTAGTAATTCCCACACAATGAGTTGCTAATTGAAAAACACCATGTTTATCTTTTTTGATGTACTTGATGTACATATATAAAGAAAATAATGAGAACAAGTGACTCAYTGAAATGAGACTATAAGCCCCTATCTCTATTAGCAATTTATTGGGGCTGGGTAGGTAACCAGGGATTGAACCCAGAGGCATTTAATCACTAAACCACATCCCCAGCCTTTTTTATTTTTTATTTTGAGATAGGTTCTTACTAAGTTGCTTAGTGCCTAGCCAAGTGGCTGAGGCTGGCTTTGAACTTGTAATYCTCCAGCCTCCCCTTCTCAAGCACCTAGGATTACAGGCATGTACCACCACACCCAGTTCCCTATTAGCAATTTTTAAATTAAGACTCAGGATACCACAATAATATGATCATCTAAACTGCTGGGCACAACTAGATTGAAAGATAAAATATAGCAATTATAGTGAGAAAACAGTTTCATATACAATTTCCTTTTTAGCCATAACTACTAATAAAGCCAGTTTCAGAAACATTTATATTAAACTATCCTAACCCTTTTTTCTTTCTTTTTCCCCACCAGTGTTTATGTTCAAATCCAGGGCCTTCTACATGCTAGGCATGCACTCTACCACTGAGTTACACCTCCAGCCCCCTTTTCCTTTCTTTTTAAAGGCACAATTAACATATTAAGTGCCAAAGTTTCATTGTTATTTGAAATAAGAAAACTAACATGAAAATATTCAGTGATCCAAAGAAAAGCTCACTTCTTTTCCTGTGCTAATGCAGCCATTTATYTCTGATATGATTCCTCTAGTCAACATCTTGAATAAAATCATTCTTGTTCTGGGATCCAAAACCTAAAAAGAAATGCAAAAAACACAAAATCTAGAAAGATGGTTCCAAATCTTCCTTATTAACACATGTGAGAATAAACAGAAGAGCCAGGTTATTCTGACTAAGTAAAGGAGAGTCACTGTCATGGGATTTTAATTCACTTTGATTTTTAGTCATTTATATATGAAAAGTGAGGTGACAGCAAAACAAACCAGAGGCATCTAACCAAGAAGTCCATCAAGTCATGGAAACCAAAGCCAACAAGCCTGAGAGAAAAAAATATGGACTCTAGACCAGCATTAGCTAAGAGAAATGCAATGCAAATCACCTAATTTAAAATTTTCTAGCCACTACACATTAAAAGTAAAAAGGTGAAATTATTTTAACACATCTTATTTAAYCCAATATATCTAAAACACTACCATTTAAATATGTAATCAATATAAAAAGTCATTAAGATATTTAATATCCTTTTTCTTACAATAAGACTTCAAAATCCAGTATGCACTGGAAGACAASTTTAAACCAGGGGGAGTGCTCACTTCATAGCACATATACTAAACCAGGGGTCAGCATCCTAGGCCCTATGGGCCAAATCTTGTCTAAAGCTTGTTTTTCTACAGCCTGAAAGCWAAAAATGGTCTTTACATTTTTAAGCGCTGCTTTTAAAGGCAATTCAATATACACTATAAGTGACCTGCACTGCCTACAGTATTTACTGGCCCTTTAAGAGTCTGAAGACCCCTGCAGACTGTGTAAATCAGGGTAAAGGTCTCCTTCAGAGTCAGAACAGTCAGTCTTGTTGAAAAAGAATTTTAAAGTCCTCTTAAACAAACAGACGGTAAGGAATTTACAGCCTGTTTTTGTCCATCTATGACACTGATGCAGCCCAATATGTTTATACAGTGTCAAGGGAGACCAGCAAGGGGTCCTTATGGCTCAAACAGAACTTTCAGTGCCAGAGAGAGAGTATAAACTGGCCAAACGTCACTAAATATGTCTAAGGGTCTAAACTTTAATGAGGCGACTGGGGTCACACCAGAAACTTAAGGTTAATATAAAAAACACAACCTTGGAAGACTATAGGACTAAATGCAACCATTATAACCGACAGAAGAGTGAAAGGAAAGAAGTGAAGACAGAAGAGTGAAAGGAAAGAAGTGAAGAGCACTAATTTCCATTCTTTCTCTATTGCACAGGTAAAGACAAAAAGGGAAAAACTGGCTGTATATAGGAATCTAAATGAGACCTGCAAAATTAGTAGGTAGACAAGGGATACAGGAAGGAAGGAGCAACACACCAAATGGCTCATGAAACAAACAAACAAAAAAAATAAGAAAAAAGACAAATTAAGACTCAAGCTATATACTCCACCATTCAAAATTAATTTTGAAAGAAAAAAAGCAAAAGATTTTCTAAGTTATTTTACAGTCTTTGAAAATTAAGCCTGCCTTRCCTCTCTGAGCTGGACCATACTTTGCTTTTAAATACAAACACAAATCACACATAATAAACCAGAGGTCAATGAAGAAATAGACCCARACCCTGTTCCCTCCCAATGGTGGAATTATTTGATTGCACAAATGGTTCTGGATCTCAGAATCATCAGGAGAGGTGCATGATGGGAGGGGTGCATATGTCTTAAACCAAGCCTGGAGGGCAAAGAGACTTCCATTCTAAAATCTATTTGTGTATGGATGGAGAAGGGCGGGAAGGTGGTAATAATAGCAATGTTTTGGTCCTTTTTGTTGTTTTTTTTTTTTTTTAAAGAGAGAGAGAGAGAGAGACAGAGAGAGAGACAATGAATTTTAATATTTATTTTTTAGTTCTCGGCAGACACAACATCCTTGTTTGTAATGTGGTGCTAAGGATTGAACCCAGGCCGCACACATGCCAGGTGAGCGCACTACCCCTTGAGCCACATCCCCAGCCCGTTTTGGTCCTTTTTATCACTTATTTCTTATTGAAAGCATAGGCCAATACTAACATGCAATCATATCCCTCTGCATATGGGAAAGTTAGAGGTTAATTTTCCTCCCTTCTTGCAAAGAAARAATAACACACACATAATTTCTAATCAAAGAAAAAGATTTTTAATGAGAATTTGAAAGCGTTACCTCTCTTTCTTTCTCCACACAAGCACAGTTGCACTCACACACACACATATGCCCCTAGCTCTGTRGCAGATAATCAACCTATTTGCTAGGAAAAGTTCATAAAATTCCTATACATAGATAACTAGAGTCTGAGAATTCATTTCTAAGAAGGGGAAAACATCACATGGTGGCTTCACAAGGCCACAGCMGGATGACTCTAATGGTCCTATTGTAAAGCGAAATGTCAATCTCAAAACTATAGAGAGTAATTTTAGGTAACATTAGTATTAAGCAAGAAGGATGAAAGCAAACTATAATTCAAAGAGGAAAGAAAGGCTTTTTAAAAAAGAGTYTGCAACACATTTAAATTATACCTGTTCTACAGTTGCTCTGTCTGCCTTATCTTTGATGCGATACCTATGGAAAACAAAAAAGAACAGTTGATACACTCAAAATTCTGTGAAAGAAGCCAAAATAAAGATTTTAAATGTATRTACATCATTTTGTGAAAATTCTTAAGTTTTTCTCATAAGAGATTTCAGGTAAATTTCATTGCAGATTTTTCACTCAGAGAAACTTCCTTTATTTTCCTAAACGTGGGATTCAATACTCGAGGGCAGTACATATGCAGTATGAAAAAGAATCCCCGTGATACAGAAGCATGAAATAAAAGAGCAGCTGGATTAAGATATAAAGTGACAAAACACAAGAGTACACTATCTTTCAAATTCTGAATTAGAACAGTACAGAATTAAGTCTTTTATTTATAAAGTTTTCTCTTTAGAGATATCTTTTTACAAAGCCACAAGATCTTTCCATTTCAAGATASTATTCAAATGCAGACTGATTTTGTTTTAACTCATATATTAAATAACTCAGCCAAGAACACTAACCCACACTAATAAAGAGTCAAATAGAATCAAGATGGTGAAATAATAGGTTAAAACTACAGCGGCTCTCAAAAAAGCTGAGACCTTTTGGTTAAAGCAATAAATCACAGGAAAATGGGGTTTTAAGTTCAGTTCTAACATTGCTAGTTGTAATAGATCAGTTATTTCCCRTAACAGTGATCGTATTAGAGTTATCAACAGAGATAGAGCTTAAACAATTAATTGACTTTGARAACAAAAGTGCAAACCAAAATAGTTCTCAATTATATCATGATTTTGTTTTTAATCTTCCCTTGGATTTTTAAAATTACTTCATGGAAGGAAACAATTTTTAATAAATTCTAAAAAGGGAACATTTTTACACATTTATTCTCAAACTGTTATCCTCGAGAGAGTACATTTGTGAATTTCACAAGATTACAGATTTACCATGTATTTCTTAAGACTCATTTGATATTTTCAATTTACAAAGGTATAGGCTACCCTTATTTATGCCAGAGATAAAAAAGGATATAATTTAATATCCTTTGCAAAATAATTCTTTTACTTAATCTAGAATCTCTATCACCCGCTTTTTATAATTAAAATACTACTTACATATCTGCTTCCTTTTGTCTAGATTTTTCCGTGACTTTATTTATGACAGAATCAGTAACATTTAGCTTATCTAAAAATACAAAAAAGCCATAATGTAAACAATATGTAAGAGGAAAAGACATTAATCAGACAATCTCTGAATAAGAGATTTCTTTTCCTTCTCTTCTGTTTTCTAAATATTTTAYTATAGTTAGGATCTTAGATCTACACAATGAAAAAAAAATGTAATGTCTTTAAACAACATTACATTTAATGTTAAAATTTTAAAGACTTTGAGAATATATAATGTCTTCAAAAGTAAACTATTTCTTGTATAATAAGCATTGTCACTTTTATCACAATAGCTATAGTTTTTGAGACAGAATTCTATAGAATTCTAAATATAGAAATACTTCAAAAATACTGTATCTGCATATTAAATTCCAGACATTTGTTAATATTTTTGTATATTATAGATAATATAACTGCCACAATTCCAAGTTTAATTCTAAAAAACTTTTTCTCCTGCCTCAGCCTCCCGAGCCTCTGGGATTACAGGCATGCAACACTAYGCCCAGAAAGTTATAGGTTCTTGATGGTGATGAGGATCCTTTAATATTCATATTCATTGATTCAGCATTTATTGAATTTATAGGAGAGATACCATGTTATATGTTTTTAAAGAGTCAAGGATCTACAAGAGGAGAAAGATGCTGGGTTTGGTGGCGCATGTCCGTAATCCCAGCCATTCAGCAGGTAAGACAAGAGGTTCGCAAGTTTGAGGCCAAACTAAACAACTTACTAGACTCTGTCTCAAAAATAAAATAAAAAATAGCCAGGGATGTAGCTCAGAGGTAGGGCAACCGTGGGTTTAATCCCCAGCAACCAATCCCCTGAGCACACAAAGAAGTGGTAGTTCAAATCAGCATTGATTCCTTGCATTCACCAACTTAATAATTAACTCTTTCATAAAAACTGTAGTAAAACAAAATGGTATTTTCAACATGCTACTATGAGATGATCCTACTACAAAGTCTAACACAGAACACACAAGAACTTCATATTCCCACAACGAAACTAAAAAAGTAGAAAGTCATGACTTCAAATCACTAACATGTTTTGATTTTAASTAGTGTTATTGAATTAGCAACACTTGAATATGTTCATTTCAATAAGACTGCATAATACTTTATGGTTTTTGAAGAATTTCTTCACAGTCCAGTGAGGTAATGTATTTTATTAACTCACCTAGATTAATTTTATTTTCAAATTTCCGTAAGACTTTGTCAGCTGGAGTAGACATTCTGGCTGAACTGTAGTTGGAAATCTGTCGATTTGCCTATAATAAAGAAATGTAGAGTCTAGGACACAAGTTGTAAATACAAACCTAAGATTCATCAACACATGCTTTTTTCCTTTGTTCATAGTTAACTATTAGACCATTAATAAGGAAATACATTTAGGAAAAGAAAATATCACCCTTGGGGCCACCACAGATTAATGTGGAGCAGGACCCAATGGCCCCATGAGTGCCACCCCCGGGGGGTGGGGGGGTGGGGGTGGGGCACTTGCGAAGATTGATACAGCAGGAGTGGGAGCCCTAGCTTTCTTTTTTTAACTTATTTATTAATGTAATTTTTAATTTATATATGACAGCAGAATGTATTACAATTCTTATTAGACATATAGAGCACAATTTTTCATATCTGGTTGTATACATTGTAATGATCATCACATTCCACCATCATTAATTACCCCCTGCCCCCTCCCTTCCCCTCCAACCCCTCTGCCCTATCTA